CAGAGAGAGAAACAAAGAGGGAGGGAAAGTGAGAAAGCAAGCCATCAGGTCTAGGACTCGAACCATGGTCAGCCATGTGGGAGTGTCCAGCGCCTTAACCACCACACCACTGGCTGGCCTTTATTTATTAGTGATTTTATTTTGGTTGTCACTATATAGCTGAATAAAACTTGTAGGCAGTTTATACAACTTTCTGCCTCTCTCTTTTTTTTTTTAATCTGGTTTTCTTTTGTTGGCGTTGGAATTATTCAATAATTAATGCTGCGTTTCTCAAGCAGAGAACTATTCTCTAAAGACTCCCCATTTTACTAGCACCCATTTTATACTACTTTTGAATGTTGGTGGTAGTCTGTACAGGTCAAACTGACTTCATTGTTAACTGCCTGTATGGAAATCTGTCAGAACCAACCATAATATGAAAGAAGATAAAAGATTAAATTATTAAATAATATCCTATTATCTCTGAAGTAGCAGTATAATCTTCACTTTATTGGTGAACAGAGAAGTTAAATGGTCTCATAGCTAGGAAGTGTTTTTAGAGGTTTTTCCTATAGGGCGCGTGCGCTCGCCAGACAGAGAGAGACAGAGAGATAGAAAGCGAGAAATCACCCCCCCCCCGGGGGGAGGGGGTGGCCATGCCGCAATCCCTTCTCCTCCATTTTCCTCTCGGGATCTTGGGCACGCGCACACACGTGCCCGGCGTGAGTTTAAGCCACCGGGTCCAGGACATGAACCGCGGTCGACTATGTGGGAGTCCAGCAACATAGCCGTTACACTAACTGCTGGTCCCAGCTAGGAAGTGTTTTACATGAGAATCAGGTAGTCTGATTCCAGAGCCCCTCCTACCACATCCTAGTACCTCAGGGAGATGGATATATTTTGAGTGTAGTCTTTGCAAGTATATGTAATCTCATCATATTAAAAATGCCTAATAAATGGGACCAGCAGTTAGCATAATGGCTATGTCACTGGACTCCCATGTAGTCGACCACAGTTCAAGTTCCGGACCTGGTGGCTTAAACTCAGGGCTGGCGCATGTGCATGCGTGCCCAAAATCCCGGAGAGGAGAATGGAGGAGAAGGGATTGTGGCATGGCCATCCCCCTGGGGGGTGATTTCTGCCTCTCTTTCTCTCTCTGTCTTTCTGGCAAGCATACACACCCTATAGCAAAAACTTCTCAAAAAAAAAAAAACTAATAAAATTTTTTTTAACTGTAAAGATGATGCACTTTTTAATTTTTGAAGAAGAGTGGTTTTTTGTTTGTTTGTTTGTATTTTTGATATTTATTTCTTTTATGAGAGAGATAGTCAGACACCTTCTACAGGGTCTTGCCATGCCGCAGTTGTCTCTCTAGCTTTCTAGCCCAGGATCATGGGTATGTCTACAGGTGCACCAGTATGTTGAGGTCAACACAAGATCCAACCCCAGGGCTTTCCAATATGGCTCCAGTATTGCACAGAGGTCTTCTGTTGCCAGCATCAACACAGCTGGGTCTCCACCTGGTTTTTAATATATGCAAAAGGTGTCAAATGGTGTGTTTGTGTATGTGCCTGACTCCAACCTGACACGTTGGTTTTGCTGAAGTATTTAACATAGATGTTGGTAGTTGACTTTCTTTTTTTAAAAATTAGCATAAAGAGTTTCTGTCATAGGCTCTGACTATTAATATATAGTAATTGAGATAAAAAATCTCACTATAATAGTGTCTATATCCATCACAGGCAATTAGTGACATACCTCATAGCAAAGCTTCAGCATTTCATAATGTTGAAAATGTATTTTGCCATTGCTAATTGTCTTTTTTCTTTTCTTTTTTTATAGAAAAAGATGGCAAAGCATTTCATCCAACTTATGAAGAAAAACTGAAACTTGTAGCACTACATAAGCAGGTTCTTATGGGCCCATATAATCCAGACACTTGTCCTGAGGTTGGATTCTTTGATGTGTTGGGAAATGACAGGAGGTAATGATGTCTTATTATATAGTGAATTTAATGAGAATAATATTTGGTGTGTTGAGAAATGACAAGAGGTAACGATGTTGTGTGTAGAGAATTAATGAGAATAGTATTGGAAAAGGTACAGTGTAATTGGTTAAGGTGTAAATAGTAGATTTATTAGATTAGAATAAGAACTGAAACATTTTTGCTTGTAGCTTCTGGAGTCTGTTTTTGGCTTGGAGATGGTTATGGCTAAATGTTGTAGAAGTTGTTTATCTGATCATGAACATTAGACAAGTGCAGCTTCATTTGGTTCTTTGTAAATGATATTAAAAGCAGCCATTTAAATTATTTAGTGATCGATTTCCCTATTGGGACATAGAGGAATTGATTAAAAAAAAAAGAACGTATCAAATATTTTGTTCAGTTGGGGCTAACATGAATTAAGGAAAAATAAAACTTTAATACCCTATTGCTCCATGGAAATTAGTGACAATGTAGTTAAACTAAGTTTGGATTGTATGCAGCATATCTAATTTAGTAAATTAGTACATACTTAATAAGTTTGAGCCTTTTGCTCATTGAAGAATCGTTCTTCATTTTAGTTATAGTTGAGAATTGTTCATATTTAGGCTTATAATAAATCTAAGTCTCATTTTATCAAAAAGAAGAGGTAACTTTTCTTGTTATTCCTTGTAGGAGAGAATGGGCAGCCTTGGGAAACATGTCTAAAGAGGATGCCATGGTAGAGTTTGTCAAGCTCCTAAATAGGTGTTGCCATCTCTTTTCAACATATGTTGCATCCCACAAAATAGAGAAGGAAGAACAAGAAAAAAAAAGGTGAAGTTTGCGGGTGTGACATATTTTACCCCTCCCTCTGTAGCCCAATATACTGATGCTGTTGCTTTATGCAGTATTTGTTCTAGATTAAGTGTCTTATTTTGCTGGGATCCCCACTTCTTTTTTTTAAATTATTTTATTTAACTTATTTTTTTTTATCTTTATTTGACCAGAGAGGGACAGAAAGGAGGGGGGGGTGAGAAAGCAAGCCACCAGGTTTGGGACTTGAACTGCAGTGGGCCATGTGGGAGTCTGGCACTTTTTAACTACCACGCTACCTTCTGGTCCCATGGGATCCCAATTTCTTAAGGCAATTGTTCAAACTCTCTGATGTGAACAGTATTTATGTTATGAGTTTCTGGAAAATAGAAAGCTGCTTCTTTTTGGTTATACATTTATTTTGTTTGTTTAATTGCAAAAAGGTGTTCATAGTCACCAGAGAGACAGAGGGAGAAGAGCAAGAATTCCCCAGTGGGGCATGGTCATGCTGTAATCCCTTCTACGTTTATGCATCCTGTTGGAATCTTGGGCAAGGATTCTCAAATCATAATTATCTGGGTCTTAACCATTAGGCCATGGGGGCAGGGGGGGGAACCTCTCATTGTCTGTCTCTCCCCCCCCACACCTCTGATGAGTGCATATACCCTAAAGCAAAAACCTCTTAAAAAAAAAAAAGAAAAGATTCACCCATCTTCCATGGCAGCCTTTTTTCTTTTTTTTTGCTGTAGTGTACTTACATTCATTAGAAAGAGAGAGAGAGAGACCACATACACACTCCACTCTGGAAGGGGATGACCATGCTGCAGTCCCTTCTCTACTCTCCTCTGAGGAATTTGGGCATGTACACACATGCACCTGATATGATTGTCAAGCTACCGGATCCAGGACTGAAACCACAAAACTGGCCATGTGGGTTTAAGTGCCTTAACCACACCAACTGCTAGACTGGCAACCTCCTATTTTTTGGTTGTTGTTGTTTTTTGTTTTTCCCTGAGATTCTTGTTATAGGGTACATGGACTTGCCAGAAAGACAGGGGGAAAGAACGACAGAAAGCGAGAAATCACCTCACAGGGGGAATGGCCATGCTGCAGTCCCTTCTCTTCCATTCTCCTCTTGGGATTTTGGACACATACAAACACATGCCCAGTGTGAGTTTCAGGCTCTGGGTCTGAGACTCAAACCAATGGGAGGCCGCATAGGAGCCCAGTGCCTTAACCACTATGCCGCTTGCTGGTTCCTGACAATCTTTGTTTTATCTTATTACACTAAGTTTCAGGAATGAGCTCCACCATAAACTCAACCCCTTCTTTTTCCTATCCTCTGGTCTGACATATTCTTTGCTGCTGTGTCCCTTGAGCTTCTAGAAAATTCATGCTCCATTTCATGTTTTTCATCTGTGGTATTTGGTAGGCCTTGCATAGACATTCTTACTGGTTCCCAGAAGGCTTATTAATTATTTCCAGGGTTTGAAGAAAGAGCTTCTGAATGTGCTGTTTATGTTTCTGTGATTCTCTGCTGTGACTGTGAATTAGATTTATAATTTACAAAACCTCATTTATCTAGAGGTTATATTTTAAACAACTTTGGGGGCCAGCAGGTGGGTGGTGGTTAAAGACCCTGGATTCCCACATGGCTGACCACAGTTCGAGTCCCGGACCTGGTGGCTTGATTTTTTGCTTTCCCTTTCTCTCTTTGTCTGGTCAAATTAAAATATGATAATAACAAATGGAATTAAATAAATACATTTTTTTTTTTTAAATCTATAAATACATTTTTTTTTTTTTAAATCTGCGACCAACAAATGGCATAATGATTGTGTCGCTGGACTCCCACATAGTTGACCACGGGTTGAGTCCCGGACCGGTGACTTAAAAAACTCACACAAAGCCTGTGTGTGTGCACGCATGCACATGCCCGCCTGCATGCCTGAGATCCTGAGAGGAGAATGGAGGAAAAAGGATTGTGGCATGGCCATCCCCCCTGGCGGGGGGTAATTTCTCGCTTTCTGTCTCTCTGTCTTTCCAGCGAGAGCACATGCCCTATAGCAAAAATCTCTCTCGAAAAAAAAAATACTACAAGGCCCTGGAATTTGATAGAAAATGGACGAATATGGAAGATCTGTTGCTAAGTCAGACTATGAAAGAGAGAAATTGTATGTCTCCCCTTAACATATACCTACCAATTGTCAGCACTCTATGGCAGAGACTGAAAGACTGGAGGACATACCAGCATTAAAAATTGTTATGGACACGAGAGCCAAAGTGGAAAGAATGAGGGAGGGGAAGAGCATAGGAAAGGAAATTTGGGGAAAAAATGGAGAGGTCAGGCATTTGTGGGACACGGATATGGTTTATTATTTACTGATGAGGATGTGCATATGTTCTCAACTGGGCTGGACTGAGGTATATGTCACTCTGGGTAAAGTCTCTTTACAATCTGAATGATGTATAATAAATAAAATAATTATAATAAATAAAAAATAATAAAGAAATAAAGTAATTATTAAAAAAATACTGAATGCTTTAACTTTCACAATCTAAAATTTCTAGAGGGGCCAGCACAAGGCATGGTAGTTAAGACATTAGACTCCGACATGTCTGACTACAGTTTGAGTCCTGGACACAGCAGCCTGAAAAATCATGCTGGGAACATGCCCAAGATCCCAGGAGAATGGAGGAGAAGGGATTGCAGCATGGCCATCCCCCGTGGGGGGAATATATTTATACTTCTGCTATGGGATAAAGGCCATAGAGAATTATTTAAGTGTTTAAGATGAGATTTCATCTATCCTGAAGCTTAAGCTCTGGCTTACAGAGCTTCTTGCTCTGTACAATCTGTAACATGTTAAAAGTAGGTCACGCTATTGCTATATTTTGAGCCTTAGGTGTGGCTGAGGTGTGTTAATAATCACTTACTGAAGTTTGGGAGGGGAAAAAAGTAGGCTAATGTAGGCAGTTCTCATGATAGGACCAAGAAATGATGTATTCTCTAAGTTCTTGAAACTCCTTCCTTTCATTCTGTCTTAGCCACCTTGTACTTCATGCTGTTCTTAGACCCATGGGTGTCTTCTAGTGTGACATCACCTGTTCATTTTGGAAAGGAGCCTGTGGGGGATGGGTAAGAACTGGGTAAGGGCTACACCTAGAAGTCCACCTGCTTGTTTTTATTTATTTATTTATTTTGGTAGAGAGGTTTTTCCTGTCAGGTGTGTGCGCTCACTGGAGAGATAGAGAGAAACAGACAAAAAGCAAGAAATCACCCCCCCCCCACAGGGGATGGCCATTCTGCAATACCTTCTCCTCCATGCTCCTCTTGGAATTTTGGGCTCACACACACGTGCGTCTGGTGTGAATTTTAAGCCGCTGGTACTGGGACTCGAACTGCCGTTGACTACATGGGAGTCCAGCGATGTAACCATTACGCCATCTGCTGATCCCACCAACTGCTTTTTTTAAATTATTTTTTCAAAAAATTGTTTATTTAATTCCATTTGTTGTTATTATCATTTTAAATTTGACCAGACAGAGAGAGAGGAGGAAAGCAAGAAAGCAAGTTGCCAGGTCTGGGACTTGAACTGTGATCAGCCATGTGGAAATCCAGCACCTTTAATCACCACACCACCTGCTGGCCCCTTTTTAACATTTTTTAGAAGAATTATTTTATTTAACTTTATTTATTCATTTAATTTTTTTTTTTTTGGAGAGATTTTCACTGTAGGGCGCGTGCGCTCGCCAGACAGACAGAGAGAGACATAGAGACAGAAAGCGAGAAATCACCCCCAGCCACCGGGTCCGGGACATGAACCGCGGTCGACTACGTGGGAGTCCAGCGACATAGCCATTACGCTAACTGCTGGTTCCCCATTTAATTTTAAAAATTTAACCAGAGAGGGACGGGGTGGGGTGGTGAGTAAGCAAGCTGCCTGGTCCAGGACTCAAACTGTGATCAGCCATGTGGGAGTCCACCTGCCAGCCCTAGCAACTGCTTGTTTTTAAATTAAAAACTTGTAAAATTTCAGGGACTAGCAGTTGGTATAATGGCTATGTCGCTGGGCTCCCATGTAGTCAACCGTGGGTTGAATCCTGGACCTGGTGGCTTCATCTCACACGGGGCGCGCGTGTGTGCGTGCCCAAGATCCCAAGAGGAAAAATGGAGGAGAAGGGATTGCGGCATGGCCATCCCCCCAGGGGGTGATTTCTCACTTCCTGTCTCTCTTGTCTCTCTCTGTTTTTCTGGTGAGCGCACGTGCCCTATAGCAAAAATGTCTCCAAAAAAAAACTTGTCAAATTTCAGAAGTAACATAAACATATGCAATATAAATGGTTTTCTATTTATAGCAATATATGAAGAATAAATTGAAAATCTTCCCTCATTTTTTAATTGCCAGAGTTACATGCATTCAGAGAGAGAGAACATAATGCCTAGTAGTTCTTAATTGTGCTGCACTCCCTTTTCCTCCATCGCTCCATCCTGTAAGGATTTGGGGCATGCATACACAGGTTCCCAGTGTGCTCTCAAGCTGCTGCTGCTGGGGCTGGGATTCAATCAGTGGTTGACCATGTGACACATGGCTTTCTATGCATAATAGAAAGCAGGGAGGCCAGTCCCCTACCTTTCTTTACTTTCTTTTTTTTAAGAATTAATCTTACTGGGGACCAGCAGTTAGCGTATTGGCTATGTCACTGAACTCCCATGTAGTTGACCGCGGTTTGAGTCCTGGACCCAGTGGCTTAAACTCACTCCGGGTGCATGTGCGTGCATGCCCAAGATCCCGAGAGGAGAATGGAGTAGAAGGGATTACGACGTGGCCATCCCCCCGGCGGGGGGTGATTTCTCACTTTCTGTCTCTCTGGCAAGTGCACATGCCCTATAGCAAAAACCTCTCCCCCCCAAAAAAAAGAATTAATCTTACTTATTATAGTTCTTTTTCACCAGTTTGCTGCAGAGCATATGCACTTACTAGAAAGAGAAAACACTAGAAAGCAAGCCTTCAGATCCAGGATTCAAACCATAGTCGGCCATGTGGGAGTCCAGCCTCCCAACCACTACACCACCTGCTGGCCCCCTACCTTTCTTTTAATTCTACTCTTTTTTCCATAGATGATAACTGACAAATTTAGAGCACATTGTTCTAGGCCTTTATATATGTGCGTGTGTATATATATACACACACACACACATACATATATGTACACACATACCTTTTTATTATTAATAATAGTAATTGTTATTATTAATTTCATTTATTATTACTGTTATTTAACTTGGCCAGAGAGAGAGCGAAAGTGAAAGTAAAAAAGTGAGCCACCAAGTTTGAGACTTAAACTGTTGAGCCATGTGAGAGTCCCGCGCTTAACCATCACACCACCTGTGATCCTTTTTAAAAAAAATTTTTTTAAGAGGTTTTTGCTATAGGGCGTATGCACTTACCAGAAAGAGAGAGAGACAGAAAGTGAGAAATCACCCCCCGGGGGATGGCCACGCCACAATTCCTTCTCCATTCTCCTGTCAGGATCTTGGGCACGTGCACGCATGCGCCCAGCATGAGTTTAAGCCACTGGGTCCGGGATTCGAACCATGTTTGACCACATGGGAGCCCAGCAACATAGTCATTACACCAACTGCTGGTCCCTTAAAATTATTTTTTAAAATATATATTAAATGTCTTTATATAAGAGGCCACGTAGATCTTTTTATTTTTATGTCTGTGGGTTTTCAAGGCTGATTTTTTTTTTCACTTCTGTACATATTTGTTGAATACTTACTTTTTCCAGCACTGTGCTAAGCCCTGAGGATACAGCAGCGTGAGACAGACTGTCTTTTAGAGCATATACTTTAATAGGTACAGCAGGTGTATTGCTAAATTTATCGGACGAATTTCTTTGCAACTACAAGTACAATATCATGAAGAAAAAGCTCTTAGTGCTGTGAGCATGAGGGGATCCTTTATGATACGAGTATATTATGATCTAAGGAGTACATATTGATGGACACCTTTTCTGTTGCGATGCAGCAGTAACTATTCTTGACATATTGGTGTATTGTGAGATTGACTCCGCTTGGTAAGTTTCTACTAGTGAAGCATATGTGTTTTGAATTTTGCATTGTCTTTTAAAAAGATTGTCAGTTTTCATTGGGAAATGAAGCTGTACATTTTTTAAAAAGAATTATGTATTTAATTTTATTTATTAGTTTTTGCTAAAGGACACGTTTGCTCACCAGAGAGAGAGAGAGAAAGTAAGAAAGCAAGATGCCAGGTTCAGGACTCAAACCTTGGTCAGCCATGTGGGAATCTAACACCTCAACCACCATGCCACCTGCTGACCCCAGCTGTAAATTATTTTTAAACAAGACTCGTTGTATAGAATTCATTCTCTCTGTCCTTTATCTTGTAGGAAGGAGGAGGAAGAGAGAAGGCGGCGTGAAGAGGAAGAAAGAGAACGTTTGCAAAAGGAGGAAGAGAAACGTAGGCGAGAGGAAGAGGAGAGGCTTAGACGAGAGGAAGAAGAGAGGAGGCGAATAGAAGAAGAGAGGCTTCGGTTGGAGCAGCAAAAGTACGTTTGTTGTATCACTTTTATTTAAAACAAGAAGAGGGCTACCATACTGTTACTTAAGTTTTTACTGTTGTATGCCTTGTAAATTATTCTAATCCGGAATTTATATGACTAGTGGGTAGAACAGGATTAGCTACATACAATTTTTATGAATGATATTATTAAAGAAGGCCTTGTCCTAACCATCAGTTGGTTGTAGAAAGAAATACATTGGAAGGATTTGGGTTTAGTTTTCAGATTCCAGGGACTAGAAAGAGGATCTGGGATTGCTTAGTAGTTCTCTCTTTCTAGGTCCACACAATCTCTTATTTTTGCTTCTTTGTCTTACATCTCTGCTTCACATTCTTCTCTGTGCAGACTCTCACTCTCTGCTTTGCATGTGCAAGGCTATTCAAGCCTGGATTTATTAGTCTGTCCTTCCATCCATGTGACAGAGACAGAGATCAGGTATTCATCCACAGTTCCTAGTTCAGGGAGACTGAAATGATTTCCTTTCTTTCTCTCTTTTTTTTTTAAGTTTATTTCTTCCATGAATGAGAGTGAAAGATAGGCACCTTCAATAGGGTTTCTTTCACTCTACATTCTCTCCCTACCCAAC